ATTTTTTTGTTCAAGGGGATGGGCCCCTACCATCTCATTTTAAGGGTAGAGTTGAGCATTCTACCTAAAAAAATACATAAAATAATCACTTTTGTTGAGAGTTAAAGTATGCATTTAGCCTTTATCTTATTAAGTTTAAAGTTTTTAGTCCTTCAACTTACATTATGAAATTTTTAAGAAAAATGATTGGTATATTTTTTGGTTGAATACATTTTTTGACACACTCTGGTTTAGTGATTAAAAATATAATATCAATATAATTAATTTAATCAGTTCTTGTATTCTGTGTGTATAGTTGTATTATTAAATTTTTTTATTTTTAATTTTGGATAAAAAAATAATTTTTTAATAAGTGTGTTATGTAGTGTGTTGAATCGAAGTGTGTATCAATTATTATCTAATTTTTAACTCCTGAATTTAAAATTTTGAAAAATCTAACTCTTAATCTAATGAAATTCATGAACTATTCGTTAAAATGAAAATAAAATATTTATAGGATTAATTCTTAAAAATTAAAAATCGTAACAATTTACTTCTAAAAATTTTAAAATTTAAAAAAATGGTAAACTAATTAAAAATTTTAATAGATGACTTTCTCATGTACACTAGAATAATATTAGACATCTGAAATCAAATTAAGTAATTAATTCAATATGAAAAAAGAATTCTAATTGAGATTAAAAAATTTTTTTTAACTGTATTAAGACAAAAAAATCCAAAAGAACAGAAGCTATTTGAGCGGGTATTTTGGTATTCACTTACCATCTCATGCTGTTATGTACTCTCTTTACAGATTGCATCATTGTTTTGGTAAATTCCACTGCATATTCAGCGATCTGCATTTTTTTATCTTCTCAAAACCCACAAATTAAAGAAGCACAAGTTTTATGTCAACAGGTATAATTTTTTAATTTAATTCCTATATGCTTTCTTCTCTCAAAAGCTTTGTTTATTTATTTATTTATTTCTTTTGCTGATTTTTAATTTTGTTGCATTATGGTTTTCATTTTACACGCTGTCTATGAAGAAGTCTTTTGTTTGGAGAAACCACCAACCATTTAAGTGAGGTACATTTTCTTATTCCAAATAACTATTAACTATTTTACAACTAATTTATATATATCTGATTCTTTGAATCTGCAACATAAAAATACGCATAAGAATATCTCCCCTTTTTTTAAGTGGGTAATTTGGTATCCACTAAAAAAAGAAAAAGTGTGACATTTTCCCCTTCTAGAGTGTAAACTACTTGTTTTGAACATTTTCTGGTGTTTATAACAGTCAGCATTGGAAGGGCAGATATTTAATCTACCAATTCATTTTTAAAAATATTTAGTACAATTGTTGTACTTTTTAAGTTGAGACTCTAATCTTGTATGGTAGCCATGACTTGCAAGATTCTCATAAAATATATCAATCAAACAATGAATTTACTTATATGACTACAAGAGATACTTTAACCACTTAATTACTCCATTCATTCAATAATGGTAGTTTTAATTTTATTTTTTAATTTTTAAGACCAAAAATTTAAGTAAAATTTTAACATAGCATATCAATGTTAATAGAAAAACTTCTTATTCATTTACGTAGTTCTTTTTGCTTAACAATAATTACGTTAATTTGACCTTGTAGCTTTTAAAATAAAGAACTAAAGTAAAATTTAATATAATATTCAAAATGCGTTTTTTAAGAGAAAACTAAAATAGAAAGATACCACTACAACAACAAAGCACCAAAAATCCCTTTTTTTCAAAAGGGGGAAAATGAAATAGCACCAGAACCAACTAGGTTTGAGATGGAAAATGGTCCAATAGGTTGTTTAAGAGAATAAAAGTTGGGCCGAATGAAATCAAGGACTTGGGTATTTTAGAGGATTAAAGTGTACATAATTTTCAATTTAGTAGAAGGTATATAAACTTACCATCTCACTAATTTTAATTTTCTTTGGCAGATTTCATCATTTTGGTACAATCCACAACATATTCTGCAATCTGCGTTGTTTTCCTTCTCAAAATCCTTAAATTAAAGAGCATATGTTTCAGGCCAGCAGGTGCAATTCTTTGATTTCTAGATATTTTGATTACTTTCTTCATCTTCATTTTTCCTCTCTCAAAAGGCTTATTTTTCTGATAGCTTGCAAAATTCTGCACTAATTATTGAACTTTAGTACATGGTACAATCTCTTATTGAGATTCTAGGGTGCTTTTTCTACTTTTTAACTTATTTTTTATTATCTTTTTTTTTCCCCCTACCTTTTAACTTAGTCTATACATAATGAAATATTTTAAACAGATAAAAATACATTTACCATTTCTGTGGAGAAGCCTTTCCCCAAGCATGTCTTTTCTTTCAACTTTCTAAGTATTTAGAGAAAGCACAAGCAACTTAAACCAGGTACAGTTTTATCCT